CAGGATGTTCAGGGTCTCACAACTAGATCGGCCTCATAGTGATCTGCCTGTTTATAGCCTCCGGAGAGCTGGGATTATAGGCGCACCCCACCACACCCAGTTTCAGTTGCCACCTCAGCACCCCACAGCAGGCTAGGGATTGAACCTCCAGCCCCTGCGCCTGCTTGCAGGCACTTTAACCTGCTGAGCTATTTCCCCAGTTGTATTTTCTGAGACATAATCTCTCTGTACAGGCCAGGCTGGCCTCGAACTCTCCACAATCCTGACTCAATCTCCCAAGAGCTAGGATTACAGGCATGCACTACCAGACCAGTTTAACATCCTCATCTTTAAAATGGGGGTAATACGTGGGGCATGTAATTCCAGCTACTCAGGAGACTAGGCAGGAAGCTTAAAAGTTCAAGGCCAGGCTGAGAAATTTACCAAGATCTTATCTCAAAATGAGAGAGAGAGAGAGAGAGAGAGAGAGGCGCAGAGAGATAGAGAGGGGGGCTGGGGTTGTAGCTCAGCAGTAGATTGCTTGTGTACAATGCATGAAGCCCTGGTTTCTATCCCCAGAACCACAAGAAATAAAGAGTATAAACTTGGAATAATATTTGTATCTGCCTCCTAGACTTGTTCAAAATGTTTAGTAAGACAGTCAGTGACAAATGCCTATAACCCCAGCAATCTGGGAGGCTGAGGCAGAAAGACGAAAAGTCCAAAATCAACCTGGGCAACTTGGTAATTTTACAAGATCCTGTTTCAAAAAGCAAAAGAGCTGGGAATGTAGCTCAGTATGAAGGTCCTGGGTTTGTTCAGCAGTGCTGAAAAACAAAAATTAATGAGAGCATGTGCAAATGTGCCCACGAGCAAGTGTGTGTGTGTGTGTGTGTGTGTGTGTGTGTGTGTGTGTCACAGGTGCCATACGCTTGTTACACAGACACAGTATGTGTGTGTGCTCCCAGTTCACACCCTGGTAATGCTGGCATTGTTTTATGAACTGGTGTCCTCAGCCCTCCAGGCTGATGCTTGGCTATCCTACACCAAGGGGCCTGGCCTGCTAAGAAGCGCAGTTTTGTCATTCCCCCCAGGGCACTGAGGTCTTCCCGCTCCTTGGCTCTGTACTGCATGACCCCACAGTCTTCGAGCAGCCAGAGGAGTTCAACCCAGGCCGCTTTCTGGATGCAGAAGGACGGTTTAAGAAACCCAAAGCATTCCTGCCCTATTCCTTAGGTAAGGCAGGGGCCCTGGCTGAGGGGGGCAATGGTGCCAGCTGGGGGTACCCTTCTCGCACCTCAGATTCACTATTGCTGCTCACACCCCCAACCCACACCTGAGGACGTGGGTGTGCACAAGGCAGGTTGAATCTTGTCCCTCTCTCTTTCCCAGGTAAGCGCATCTGCCTCGGAGAAGGACTGGCACAAGCAGAGCTCTTCGTCTTCTTCGCTGCCATCCTGCAAGCCTTTTCCCTGGACAGCCCATGCCCGCCAGATGCCCTGAGCCTCCAGCCAGCTGTCAGCGGCCTCTTCAACATCCCACCAGCCTTCCAGCTGCAGGTCCGGCCTGCTGACCTCCACCCCTCCACGCAGACCAGATGAAGGAAGGAGCTGGGGGAAGTGGGAGCTGCCCAGGAGGACGGACATACCCTGCCTCAGACGGTGTGTGAGGACAGGGCACTGTCAGGAGCCCTGGGTCCACCAAAGGCAGCCCAGTTACACCTGCAGCTGTTTCCTAGAAGCGTCACACAGACGGTTGGCCCGCGCAGCTGCTGTGACACACGGCCACACAGCCATGAGGGCCACGAGTGCTGCTTGAGCTTTCTGCAGACATCGATGCAGCATAGTATGTCTGGAGCCACGAGCAGAGGCCCACATAACCCACCAACCTGTACGCCACACAGCTCCCCGCACCCTCAACCCACACAGGGGCATCCAACCACTATCTTCACAGCCACACAAACCCACCTGTGGTCACAGCTCACACACACCCTTCACCCATCAGACTCAGTGCCACCATCTCTGGGCACCAGTCACAGAGGACAGCATGACCATGTTCAATCATGCCACAGTCAGAACCACTGTCCCTCCCTGCCTGTGGCCCCAACATGTACCCTTATATGTCCTCACTACCCTCCAAGCCCATGAGCGCTGCCAGCCACAGCCCCCAACCACTGATCCACACAGCCAGCCCACACATGCACCCCCTGCATCCCCTCGGCTTCCCCCTGAGATACAGCACTCCACAGACACAATCCTGGCCACCTCCACACTTTTGTCCCCCAGACACACCCTTTCTGGGTATCCATTTCCCTTAGATTTTCCTAAATACAAGTACTTCCTTGTGTGCGGTTGTATACCCAGACCTTGAACACAGGGTCCCCAGACCAGAGAAAGCGCACTCCCATACCTGCTTATGTAACTATGTCGAGAGAGAGAGAGAGAGAGAGAGAGGGAGAGGTCCCTGTCCCTACTACCCATATGTACACAGCCCCAAGGCCCTTACTCAGTACTGAAGTCCCCACTAGACTCACTGGAAGGGCTAGA